ACCTTTAAAAAGCAAGTTGTCTTAAATTCAAGTTAAAATTTATTGTCATTCTTCTGTCTCAAGAAGATTATAACGTATTCCTTACTGGTAAATTTTTGAAAACGTGTATGCATTTGTTGAAATAAGTGAAAATGAAATAAAAGTTTAAATCAATCAGAAAATAAAACAAAAACTAGTTATAGATATTTCATATCTTTTGTATAGTTTTGCGGTGTTTCGTAAATTATACCATAGTTTTTGGTGAATCCCCCGGCAATAACCCCACGAGACGAAGTCGAGTGGGGTTGCCGAGGGGTTTCACCAAAAACTATGGTATAATTTACGAAACACCGCAAAACTATACAAAAGATATGAAATATCTGTTTTAACCTATCGCAGCTTTCACTGTTAAAAAAGTATATTGCATCCTATTATAACTTTTTACTTTTAAATATCTTTTTATAATAATCTGCTAAATTTCCCCTTGCTGTGCCTAACAAATGAAACCCCGCCCATTTTTTAAAACGCACGGACTTCTTAAACGGCGCGAACATCAGTTGGAAAAGAAAATTCGACAATGATGGACGCATTCATTTTGGCCTCCGATAACGTTTCTGATCAAATTATGATCAAAGAATTAGATGTTATTGATATGTTGTGTGACATAGAAACAGACATAAGCTTGACACAATTATGTGCAGATATAAGTAAAGACCAATTTCTAGGCGATGACGATGAAAATTACGGTCTATCACAGATTGCGGCCAAAGCTGAAAAAGAATTTTTCGACACGGAAGATACTTTTGATATTAATTTTGATTTGTCTATTCCCGACTTTGATAACATTAGTTATGGGGACTTTCATATTGATGGGATAGCGGATTTAAACAGTTTTGTCAAAGCCGAAGTGTCCATAGACGATGAAAGTTCTAGATTCGGCAACTTGACAACAGACGATGATAAGGACGAGTTGATATCTGAAACAATCCCGAAAAACAATAAAAAAAGTACTAATTGGGCAAGGAATGTATTCAAAGAATGGAGACATTTTAGGACATCCCGAGGGGAAGGAATTCCAGAAATTGAGGAGTTTTCTGTTGTTGATGTTAATAAATGGTTGTCTCGATTTGTTGTGGAAGTTCGAAAGAAAAATGGAGACTTTTATCCACCGAAATCACTTTATCTCTTATCTGTCGGACTATTGAGAAGCATCAGAGACTCGGGAATAAGTATGAATTTTATGGACGAAAGAGATGATAAATTTTTAAGATTTAGAAGAGTACTGGATTCCCAGATGAAAAGTTTAACTGCAAAGGCTGAGTTTTTTTTAAGAAATCAAAGTTATTTAAGTTCCAAATGTTTTTTATTTTTAATTATTTATTTACTAATCTGATGAAATTAATTTCACGAGAATCATTATTAGAATTTGAATAAACCATGATACCAGTTTAAATTTGTATCAAAACCCCAAATCGTAAATAAAAAAAAAATATTGTCACGATTAAGAAAATATGCTGCAAAGGTAGGCCTAAATATAAAGCTTCGTTTAGGATAACCAGCCCCTTTTTCATTGAATCGGTCTAAACTGTCCTTTTTACAACTTTCTCTGGCAAACTCATTAAAGTCCAGATGTCCTCAGTGTATTACATTTTTTTTGTAATTTCGTATGCACTGTAAGGACTGGGACGGGGAAGTAATCTTCCAAAGTCAGGTCACTCTAAAATTGACTTTGACATTTAATCCCTTGTTAAAAATCTATAATAAAGAAACATCCAGTCTAGCAACCTTCCCTTACCAACATACCAGAATGTATATATATTGCTTCAAACACTTTTACAGTTATTTGGCCTTGTGAATTAATTTTTTCATTTCATATAATTTATTTTATTTTTATTTACTTTTTAGGCTATTGATATAACTTACCCTTACTTACATTTTTAAATATGTTACCATACAACGCATATTTTTAAACTGACCGTAGAATTTAAAAATATTCCAAAAATAATATATGAATTTAAATTTGATCGTTTCAGGCTATGGTATGACAACTAAGCAAGCAGACCCCATTTCGCAAGAACAGGAAATGATTTTATGGGAAAAAGAAGTTGTTGGATACGATTCGTCAGCGGCTCTTTTAAACGGTGTCTTCTTTTATAATTGCAAATTATTTGGATTGCGTGGGAGAGATGAACACCATAGCTTGGATGCATCTCAGATTATTATAGGAACTGACGACCAAGGGAAGTATATTCAGTTCATAGAGACAAAAAGTAAAACATTTAAAGGTGGGTTGAAGCAGAAAAACGTTGAAAACAAGAACATTAAGCATTACACAAATGCGAGCAGCGACAAGGATTTGTTTAAGCTATACGAGCTCTACATTGGACATTCGGAAATTAGTCCGGAGGGAAATTCAAAGTTCTATAAACGTCCACTGCAAGGTTCATTGAGATTCTCCAAACAAAACCTTGGAATCAACAAACTTGAAAACCTAATGAAAACCATGTGCACCAAAGCTGGACTCTCTGGCAACTTTACCAATCATAGCGGGAAGCGTACCTGTGCAACTGCTATGTTCCAGTCTGGTATGGATGAGCAAAGTATAATGTTGCGAACTGGCCACCGTAGTGTCCAGGGTGTTCGAAAATACAAAAGGCCTTCTGATGATCAGCTACGAGATATATCAAACGTTTTGGAGCCGAACTGTAAATCATCTAAAATTAAAGTTGACAACAATTCTTCTGACGGAAAGGAAAACGACAAGTGCCATATTGTAGACCTTCAAAGTCAGTCTTAAGAGTTGCGTTCCATTCGGAGGATTTAACAATTGTAATGTTACCTTCAACATTGGGAAGTAAGAATGTCCGGTTAATGCGTTGTGAAAAAAAAAACTGGGAATACCGTTTTTTTTAGTGTTTTAATTTTAAACTTCAGTCGTGGAATCCTGAGATTTTTTGATTTGTGACAGTCTGATTAATTTTTCCGAATTATTTTTTTTAAATTAAAGTTTAAAAGAAAACTTAACTTTAAGGGAGGTTAATGTGAAATAATTCTCAATAAATCTGTTTAATACTTTTTATGAATCTGTTACGAGGAGTAATACGATTATAGCAAAAGTATGTTGTTTAGTTCTTGAGAAATAATTATGGTAAAGTCTGTTGTTATTCTGAGAAATTTTGTATTAAGTTGAACGTAAAAAAATTAATAAAAAATCAGGTATGATTGCCAAAGAGAAAACTACACCAGAGACAAAATAGCATAGAGGTAAACAACTATAGGTCACTGTACAGCCTTCAACAATGAGCAATACCCATACTACATAGTAAGTCTGTTGCTTAACTATTCTGAAAAATAACGTTTTTTTTTGTTGAAACGTATGTCTGATAAAAAGCGTAGTAATGTATAAGTTTTTTGCTTCAATTTGGTGACAATTAAGGTATTTTGCTAAAAGTTCATCGTAGCCATATATTGAGAATTGGTAATTTATGTCGTCCTATCATATCGAGAAATAGATCTAGTGAATTACTTTGAAAGTCTTTTTTTCTTATTTTTGTTCAAATTTGCTTTTTTATTGCGTTTTATGGTCACAAACTTCATTTCGGTACAACAAAAAATGATTGACATCTGCTTTTCCAAAAATAAAAACCGGAAAATCATTACAGGAACAGAGCAATGTTCTGACAAACTATGGTATAATTGTGAAAATTATACCATAGATAGCTATGGTATAATTTTCGGTTATGGAGATTTATCATATGCAACTATTCCAGTCATAATTAAGTTCGATAACTCTGCATGTTACTGGTTTAATTAGGATTATGTAAAATTTACTGGTACCCGATGAATGGTTTAAAGAAAATTGAAAAATATAGTTATTTCACCTCGGTTAATATCCATTCGAGGTCTTCTTTTATAAATATAAAATACTATCGTAATGAATTTCATTGAGAATCTGACAACACTAATCAACATAGGTATTGTCAAAACATACATCTACATAGGTATTGTCAAAACATACATCTACATAGATATTGTCAAAACTTACATCGTGATTAGGTGCCATGTTTGTTTTCTTTGATTACGTTGATGTTATGACTTAATATCTCCTTAGTCTAGCTATGTCCTTAATTGGCTATCATTATAGTGACAATAACGTACGTGTCATATTTAAGTGCAATATAAACAGTGAAATTAAATTGAATTATTTGCATGGACAAAATAAGTGTCGAACATCGTCTACGTTTGAAAATTATTTGGTCGCCATTTTTTAAAATTTTTATAAAAAAACAACAGCATGTATCAGCTTTATCAAAAGGAACCAATGTTTGATTCTATGCTGCTTTAAGGTAAGACAATGACTGAAAACGTGAGCATCCAACAGTTATTTGATTTTCATTGTAACAATCTTACAAAATATATTTTTACCAAGTCGGCCCACGCTGTCAATGTGGTCGCCATCTTGAAAAATAATACCCGATTTTCTGAAAATAGCTAATTTTCAAATCAATTTGGAAGGGACGTAATAAAAAATTAAACTATTGCATGTACGATATTTCAAATATTTATGAATATAGTAATAAGCACATATTTCCACAATTTTTCCATCTGTTTTGTTTAAATCGCAATTTTAGGTTTAACACGACAGAAAATCCAATATTTATCGGAGTTGGATGATTTAACAGTGTGAATTATCGAGGCAACAAGACAAATTTTCAAAAGCATTTGGAAGGGAGAAGACCAAAATTTAAACTTTTCCAAAAGGCATAAATATATTTCTAAATATATGAGGAATTACTATATATTTCCACACTTTTTTTATCATGAACTTAAAGTAATTTATTTTATCGATTCCTGAAAGCCCCTGTGCATTTCTATACATTTTACTTGGGCATGATACGGGTGATGTGTGACGTCGCCAATGTCACGTGATGACTGCTATAGTTGGATATGCTAGGGTTGCATTCCCATTGGATTCATTGTACAGCTATAGGTTAAGACTTAATTATAAACACATTTTTTAGTACGACAAGAAAACCAAGATCCTCAACATACTCTACTAACTCGAGATATAGAAGCCGAAATTCCGACACAAAGAAGACACCATTTATTGGTTATATACTGTGAGTATGCATTTTTGATAATTGTTATATAATCAATGTGAGATTTATTTAAATTTGACAAATTTTGAGTTAATATAGTTAAAACAAATCGTCTGACGTTTCAGTTTATATACAAGTATTTGTATTGTCACTTTAAATAAGTTTTACACAACATAGTAGGTCGATACCACTACTCGTGTAAGTTTCTTGTCAACAGTTGGACGGCGAACGATTTAATGGTTTCTAAGGTAAAGACATTGGTCACGTGACGAAAGGTCAGAGTTTGTTTTTTTTGGTAAACGTGCATGCCTCGTGGTGTTTTTGACTCTTATTGTCTTATTTTTACTCGTATACAAATAAAACTCAAGGTGTTCAAATCACTATTCTTTGTATCTATTACTGAAAAGTGTTGTTGAAGTATTCTAAATTGACGAGTGAAGTGACATTTTTTTCTGAAAATTTGTGTAGGTCCACGGAAAATCCCTAATCATTCCTTAAATATGTATGGTAACGTTTGGAGGGGTATACAATATGGAGTAAAACCTTTTTTTAGGTACGATTTTAGTTATAATTAACCCCAAATTTACCAGACACGCAATTGTGTCAGCTTATTCGTGGCGAGGTGGAGATCAAAGGGAGATAACTCCGTACACTCGTCGTAGGAAACTGCAAGTTCACAACAGTAATTTCGAGTAAAAGTGATGATTGTAGTTATATTTCGACACTTTCTTAAATAACTATTTCCATACTTCATGTTCCTTCACTTTTGTAACATTAAAATAGTCATGGAATGGTTGAATATGGCATTTTTCAAGTAATTATAGGTTTTTGAAAACTTCCAAAGATGAAAATTATATATAACTTACTTGATCTTACTTTCCTCTGAAACTTGGAACTTATAAATTGCTAAAATTCTATTCTCAAACACCCTTTTGATAGATAGAATGATACAAGTCTTTGTTTCACTTTCTTTGTAAACTTTGACTTTGTTACCAAACTATCCTTGTTTTTCTATGACCTACATAGATTGGTTCTTGTTATGTGACATCATTGATCGTCAGTCATGGTTATTTGTAGCCTTTTTTCTTGATGTAACAATAGCAAGTTCAGAGGAAAGTAAGAACCTTTCAGCGGATCAAGGACTTTTGAAAGGGGGGATTATTCCAGAAGATATATCGTCGATTTAATGCATAAAAATTATATGTGTTCCAATCTAGAGGGATTCATCAGCAGAACTCGTGTTACAATAGAATTTAACCTTGCATCACATTAAAACACAATATTGGAAAAAACACAAAATGTAGACAATAGATATAAGAAGATGTGGTATGAGTGCCAATGAGACAACTCTCCATCCAAGTCAAAATTTATAAAAGTAAACCATTATAGTTCAAAGTACGGTCTTCAACACGGAGCCTTGGCTCACACCGAGCAGCAAGCTATAAAGGGCCCCAAAAATTACTAGTGTAAAACCATTAAAACGGGAAAATCAACGGTCTAATCTATATACAAAACGAGAAACGAGAAACACTCATGAACCACATCAACAAACGACAACTACTGAACATCAGATTCAAAATTGTGAACATATATATTGAATGGAAAAAAAAGATAATTTGCAGTGGACAGCATTTAAACATTTTTGTTATACCTGCTTTAAGATTAGAAACTATATAAGACGTACAAGTTCTGCTGCTGGCTCTAAATTAAGAGAAAAAATCTGAACATCCAAAAAAAGCCAGAAAGGGATTTGAAACATTATAATCAACGCAAAGAAAACTGAACAAAAAGCTGAAATGCAATATGATATCATGCAATTCACATTATTTCTGTCATTACAAGTACTTTTGTTTATCTTAAATTTGAATTCAAAAGTACTACAAATAACTGTTCAGTCATTAAATAAATTATTGGTTGAATAATGAATGATTAGTTAAGGTGATCAGTAAATAGAGTCTGAATAGGCTTTTTTTAAATAATAGTGTTATTATGTCATACAATTCATTATTCCGATTTCGGAAAAAATCTTCATAGTATCAAACCAGAATGCGAGTTCTTATTATTGCGATGATAACTAAATCGCATTATTTACATTAATAAAAACCTCACGATAATTTCTTAATTTACAGTATTTAGCTTGTCAAACTCTTCGCTTTACATTTCCTAGGCCTAAATGTGGTTGTGACAATTTTGCTAACTTTTACCAAAAATCTTTTTTTTATTACATACCTAGATTAATACCATTTCAGAAAAAGTTGTATACAGTTATATATGTATCACATATTAGAATGCTAGTTTGTATTATTGCAATACGTTATTATTCAATTTATAAAAAAAAATATTATTTTTGAATTTATAGTTTATTTTTCGATAGCCCAAAATATTAATCTGGAATCAGTACATACATGTAATACTTTAAATTAGGGAACTTATTAAAATGTTTGCAGTTCTAAAATAAGGAGACGTGGTATGATTGTCAATGAGTTTACAGTCTGATAACTATCCACCAGAGTCCAAATAGTGTGGCTGTTAGCAGTTATAAATCACTTTACAGACATTAACAATGAACAAAACATGTTAATTGTTTTCAGGCAACATAGGAAAAAGAATTGTTGTGGCTCGGTGGCTTACAAGAAAAGATAAGAAATATAATAATAATAATATGAATAGGAAAATAAGAGAGACAAAAAAGACAGGACTAAGCCACTGGACTATATATAAAGTGCTCCCTCACTTACTAATTCTTAGAGGAGCTGCACTATAGTCTACACTTAGAAAAGAAAGATGTTGGGGACCTAGCCAGAGCAAGAAGAATTTTGAGACTTGGAAACAAAAGAGTAGATTTGGGGACACCACATATAGGCCAATCTGCCCTATTTGCTCCCACCTAATGACCTATCAAAATTAATGCCTAGGGTGGGAATTAAACCCATGTACATTTACTCTATTGTTCAATTTGTACTTATATGAAATAAATACAGCTGTAATGTAAATATGGTAATTTACATCATATTTACAGTCTCAATTTTTTATAAAGACCTAGCTAGACCTATTTCTTAGGCAAGGTGTATTATGTAACTCTTGAAAGCAATAAAATCCATTTGTAAATACTAATTATATTGCTGTTCAACAATAATAACAAAACAGTGGTTATTTCTAAGTATGCAGTAACAATAACGTGCATTTTAAGTAAACAAACATCAATTAACGACCACGTATTTGTCTGCTGTGCTTGAATTATAAAACGACCCATCAGCTTTATTTACACGAGTTTTTGCCAAGACAGACGGTTAAACGTGTCTTTTCACATTATAAGTTTTATAAACAATTCATTTGTTGTTATGACTTGTGTATGCATGGAAATATAATGAAGATAACATTGATTTTTACCGTACAAAATTGAATACACAACATATCAGACGTGTACACACCAAACACATCCTACTTTTGTAACGATGAATGGTAACGTATAGCCACTTATATAACAGTAAATTTAATTTGATAAGCTACCGGAAACAATAAATAATTTGCATATTCATGGCCGGACACGCAATTGTGTTAGCTTTTGTTTTGATGGAAAAATGTAAACATTGGAGTCCGCCATTTTGACGTAGGAAACAAACTAATTTTCAATCTTGAATTAAAGGACATTGCGCACGTTGCCAGCATATCATGCACAACCAGTCATGTGAAAATATATCTTCTAATTTGTTTTCTACACTTACTATTGTTAGTTAATTTAATGTTTTAATTTCCTACAGAACGGAACATAGTTCTCGAAGACGACGAAGACAAAAATATAGGTGGCGCTGTTTATGGGCGTGAACATTTTACATACGGGTACTTTTTGTGTCGACAGATTGACTTTTATCTGTCAGATTCAGGCGTTTGCCGTTCAACTGTCAATGGTATCACCAGCTGTCAAGTATTCAGCACTCCTGTGTTGACAAATCGTTATACAGCCATTTTCTGTTGATTGTTTTTTTAAATGTTAAATCTATCAACACACTTACTAAAGGGTTTTAAACCCATAGGTATCGATGGACTCTTTTGGTCTCAGTTTTTATGCACAATTTAGGAATTTTGGTTCACCGTTATGCCTTCAACAACTAGCAAAAACCAATACCGTATAATAATCTATAAAATGCCCCCTGGTACCGAATCGAGAAATAATTCGACAAAACATATGGAGCGGCCTGATTAAAGCTGCAAATAATAAAGGAGAAAACAAGAAAGACAGATGGCAACCAATGAGAACCATTCGGTAATATTCGATAATATGACGGATAAAATATTCTTGTGCGTCAACCCTTCCTAACATGGGATTGTGGTGTAGCAAAATCCATTGAAAAAACAATACAAATTCGTTGAAAATAGCTTGACTGAGCGTAGCAAGAACTAATAAATGAAAACGACTATCTACGGAAAAAAGCTAGTTCAATTTTTGTAATGCAGTATATTTATAGTAAATAAGTTAAATGTTGTAAGTTCCGTTAAAGATAATATTTATGAATCTCACTACAATGTTAAATTAAAAGATTAATTGATAACAACAAACAATAGAAAATTTACTACATTGAAGAAGCGAAAATCGTCTGGTTTGTTTAATGTATTTCAGTATAGAAATCTCTTTTTGTAACATCACAATCACGAAATGGACAATTATTGCTATAAATAGTAAATTCGTTAAAATTCAGTTCACTGGAGTAAAATTCTACAAGATAATGAGAGAATTCTTAAATGTTTGAAACAAAACAAATCACGTATAGTTAGCAAGTAATTCAAAAATCTGTTATGAATTATTAGAGTGTTTGCTTTTAAGAATCTTTTTAATAATAAATCAGTTCACATTTAACGAATTTAGTGTAAAGACGCCATAAACAGTCTGAGAAACGCATGTTGTGCAATGACAAAATATAAGTAAACAGGTACGACAGGATATAGGATCAGGAGTTTGCATAACTGCACATATATCGTAATATATATAAAAACAAAAAAAAAGGGCTACTGAATCAATACTAGCTGGAACCTTAAAAGGGATAGCATATAATATAAAAAAGGAAATGTGATAGGATATTTCTGAGACAACTATATACCAGAGGTCATGTTTACTTTTGCTGAAAAGTTTTAAGCTACAGGTTTTAATCGAGAACACACAAACTATATCTCAAATATAATCCATATATGACAAGACTAGAGGATTGGATATAAAGTATAAAGCATTATCCCATTTACTCGTACAAGACGATAAAATGTCCAGAAACCTACAAAACGTTACTTCGATGCACATTTTGTTGCACATCATTCGCTAACAGTGTAAGTATGAGCAAAATATAACACAAAAGTATAATTTCAAAATCTAAATAACCAAATCAAACCAAACAAAGGATCAAACAACAACAAAAAAACAATAAATAACAATTAAATTAAAGAAATAGTATTGCGTATATTAGCTTTCATAAACAATCCTTACAAGAGATCAACGTACTGCGCCTTAGACATCTTAAAACATGAAACTTTCTCGTTGTAGAGGATTTGGAATACCATTGGCAGTTGTCTTAGCGTGTTTTGCAACTGTACATTTGAATGCGACGTGTAAAGATTTAACCAGTATTAAGAAGAAAACTTCTGAAGGCATGATATTACAAAATTCATCAACACCACAACTGGCAAATGACATACCAGTATACGCTGCTGCGTGTAAGTGTGTTTAGGTTTTTGAATAAAAGCGTTACAACCAAAAAAACTTACCAGATTGGGTTTTCATTATAGCTATTCTCAACATTTTTATTTTGATACCCGTCGAAGAAATGCGTTTTTGTTTGCAAGAAATCGAACTATATTTATGAACAAAAAAGTAATAAGTTTTCATTTCTTTTGCATTATTTTTCAATTGTACATAATACATCATATTCCCCGTATCAACGTGTTGCGTTTTTAATGTTTTTATAAGCCCGGTATCGTTGATGATTTGTTTTTATAATGATAGAATACATAAAACTTGAGAAGTGTCGTGGTTTTCTAATACCATTCTGGAACTGTTTTTCCGTCCGAAACACTGCACTGATAACGGAGCCCGTATAATATCATTATGATCATGATTTTTTTCTGATAATGTTTCATATCTATAAAAATTCTACAAAAGCCTGTTTTCGATTTCATCATTTTTACCTTCACTTCGCACTAATAAGTAACATTAAAGATTTGAACATGCATAAACCTGTAAAAGCATTATTGTCTTCGACAAGGTCAAAACTAAATTAGTATCCGACATTATGCAATTCTCTTTTTACGTATTTTGCAATTTATCTTTTACATGTCCCTAGTTATGCACTCCTTGAGAATATCATTCCAGTAACAAAAATCTTGTTGAACACGGTGTATGACATTTGAGGAACAGGAAGTTTTCAACCTTGAGCATATGAATTCACTGCGGGTTTGTTGGGGTTGGTGTTGATCAGACTTTTTTAAAACAAAACTACATAATCTTTTATGTGATATATTTTACTAAGCTAATAGTATTGGGCTTGTGTGTCGTTTTCATTTAGACATGGTCTTGTCATTTTATGGAATGTATGGTTTTGTTTCGATCCCTTGTCATGTTCTATTTTTTAAAGAACTATGCATAATATTATGCATACAATATATTGAAAGAACCAATGCTTATACGATATCTTTTCCCTCTCGTTTCTAATTAATTGTAGGTCGGTCCAGAAAATCGAAGAGTGTGTATACGTTTTATTTTACAAACCATGATGATTTGAAGTAATTGTTACTTCTGAATTATTCGGGATGTAACAAGCAAAATGAATTTTACGGCAAGTTTTTGTTATCAATTATAGGTGTACGTTTGCAAAACGGCAAATATGATACAGTGATAGCATCACAAAGGCAACTGGCTGGTCAATTTGGTGAAACGGATAACAATGACAGCGTTTATAGCAATACTGCAAAGTTTCTCGATGGCTATGAGACTGAATCAGCGTTATGTAGCATTGCAGGAAATGTTCACGAAACATCGGAACATCCAGAAAATAATCCAACTGTTGATCCTCCTACATACCAAGAAGCAAGATGTTTAAATAATTGCCTATATGAAACATCGTTGTAACAATTGCATTTAATGTGTATACCAAAAGTAGTATCTCCGAAACCTGTATTTGATTTACTTTTAGTACGCAAACTTCAGATGTTTGTTTTCATCGGTCAGTTTGTCAACAACAATTAACAGGAGACAACTTGAAAACTGGTCAAAAGTACATTATAATTAATTTGTAATAATTTCTTAATCTTTAAAATGTATTCTAACAAAAATTTCGTATTTGAATAGTCCCTAATTTTATTATCCTAATTGAAAGAATTTTTCAATTGTTTTGTTGTGCTTCATACATTGTCATATCCATCCTAGATCTGGATAGATCACAATAATATTTTATATGATGGAATAATTATCATAAAAGGATACCAAATGCACGGAGGTTGCAATTTGACATTATAGGCAAAATCAATGAAATTAATGTATGTTGAAACTAAAAAAGGTACAGTTAACCGGGAAATTTTCGCGCCGTCTTTTTTTAGCGATTAACCAAGAAAATCTAAATTCGCGCTGTTTTGAATTCGCGATGTCCAGGTGTCCTATTTAAGTTTTTCAGAAACGACTCGGAAACTGTACAGTTTTACATGTATTTAAATCAAGTGATAAAATCAGAAATCCTTTTTGTCGGTTCATATTTAAACTTATTAGTCATGTTTGTTTTATAAAAACACATTCACAATAAACAGAAAGGAATGACCTAATTAAGAGTGAACTAAATGCTGACAGGATTACTGCTATTTAATTAATATTTTGATCGTATTGATCTATACAGCAGATAGACTAAGGTAATCAGTTTAAAACTGATTGATATGTGTCATTTGCATAAATTTAACGATAGTTGTTTATTTAGCAATATCCGTAATGTCCATTTGCTTGAGATGTCTTTCATGTTAATTACACTAACAGGAGCTAAAGTTGTGATTTCAGACATTGACTTTCAAATAAAGTTAGTTTTGTGGTATAGATCTGTTGTCTGTTAAACTTATCCTATTGATATACGGTCATGTATGATCACCTTTGTGTTCGGTTTTCCTTGAAATAGTCAAAGTCGTTTTATATTGCGTTTCAACTCTTACCGCAAAAATAGCAAAAATAAAACTGCCGCTAAAATTTCCCTTTTTACGAGTATCTTATGCAACAACAAGAGCTTTCCATATCCAAATACGACAGTATTTTTTTTCTTCTTCCGATACTCAAATGTACTAGTTGTATGTGTATTTACATTGGAAGCATTATTCATTAAAACAATATTGTTTTATCTCATGTTCCTGTGTGACCTATAATAGTTGGTAAATAATTCGGACATACCATTACGGATGACAATTTTATTATAGACATAATTTAGAGGTAACAGTGGTTTACCATTGTTCAAATCTCATAAATCCGTCAAGAAGATACAATCAAAGTAAAACAAACAAAACTGTGGTAATTAAGCTCTTTAGAATTAAGAATAGACCATCTGACCAGTTGCCGCTCGCCACGTTCAACTCGTTTTCTAAATTACTGTTTATGTACCTTGTTAAGAAATTTTAAACACAAGACATAATAGCGAACGACTTAAAGACTAAAGCAAAAATTCTGAAATTAATTGTCAGAGTTCGTATACAACATGGATAAATATAAACTGCAAATTAGGCAATGTAATTAAAAAAAAAAATGATTTTTGATAATTCATTTTAGAAGATATAGAATTCACACTGTCTATTCAAGAATTTTTCAAACTTCGCTTTAATCGTAAAAAAGTACAACGAAATACTACACTTTTATTAAAACTACACTTTTCGAGTGGCACGTCTGTTTTTTACATAACTTCACTCCGTCATGTAAGGACAAGAGAATGAACAATTCGTGTATATTACGAATACATGTAATACTCATTTTAGCATATTCACAAATACTTCATATACGTTCCGTCATATACGGATACGTCCTCGATACGTGAGTTCTGTAACAGCTGTAGTAAGCTCTCTTAAATTTAAATGTCATGAGTTTTAGATATTGGTCAGAAAAGCTACCGTCAATTTCTAAATGTGTTGCTCTTTACTATAATTTCTTTACCTTTGAAGTTGTCTTAAATTCAAGTTAGAATTTATTGTCATTCTTCTGTCTCAAGAAGATTATAACGTATTCCTTACTGGTAAATTTTTAAAAACGTGTATGCATTTATTGAAATAAGTGAAAATGAAATAAAAGTTTAAATCAATCAGAAAATAAAACAAAAACTAGACTTAATTATAAACACATTTTTTAGTACGACAAGAAAACCAAGATCCTCAACATACTCTACTAACTCGAGATATAGAAGCCGAAATTCCGACACAAAGAAGACACCATTTATTGGTTATATACTGTGAGTATGCATTTTTGATAATTGTTATATAATCAATGTGAGATTTATTTAAATTTGACAAATTTTGAGTTAATATAGTTAAAACAAATCGTCTGACGTTTCAGTTTATATACAAGTATTTGTATTGTCACTTTAAATAAGTTTTACACAACATAGTAGGTCGATACCACTACTCGTGTAAGTTTCTTGTCAACAGTTGGACGGCAAACGATTTAATGGTTTCTAAGGTAAAGACATTGGTCACGTGACGAAAGGTCATAGTTTATGGTTTTTTGGTAAACGTGCTAGCCTCGTGGTGTTTTTGACTCTTATTGTCTTATTTTTACTCGTATACAAATAAAACTCAAGGTGTTCAAATCACTATTCTTTGTATCTATTACTGAAAAGTGTTGTTGAAGTATTCTAAATTGACGAGTGAAGTGACATTTTTTTTCTGAAAATTTGCGTAGGTCCACGGAAAATCCCTAATCATTCCTTAAATATGTATGGTAACGTTTGGAGGGGTATACAATATGGAGTAAAACCTTTTTTTAGGTAAGATTTTAGTTATAATCGACCCCAAATTTACCAGACACGCAATTGTGTCAGCTTATTCGTGCCGAGGTGGAGATCAAAGGGAGATAACTCCGTACACTCGTCGTAGGAAACTGCAAGTTCACAACAGTAATTTCGAGTAAAAGTGATGATTGTAGTTATATTTCGACACTTTCTTAAATAACTATTTCCATACTTCATGTTCCTTCACTTTTGTAACATTAAAATAGTCATGGAATGGTTGAATATGGCATTTTTCAAGTAATTATAGGTTTTTGAAAACTTCCAAAGATGAAAATTATATATAACTTACTTGATCTTACTTTCCTCTGAAACTTGGAACTTATAAATTGCTAAATTTCTATTCTCAAACACCCTTTTGATAGATAGAAGTATACAAGTCTTTGTTTCACTTTCTTTGTATCAATATTCATAGAAAGCATATGAAAATAAACTCAGTGTACATGTAGCTTGTTTCAACTATAAACAGTTTTTTAATATTAATTTCACTGTAAAATTAAGACTTCAATTAAATTAATTTAGATTTTAAAAAATAACTTAAATAGAAAGTGTTTACTCCGGTGCACTGAAAACGTTGCATCAGTAATGAGATTTGACAAAGTTATTCAGACTGAAGAACTTATAGATTCTTTGTCACTTTGTATTGCTGTTCATATGGTGAAAAAAAATGATATTATACATTCTAACATTGCATCAATT